AACACGAGAGCCTGGGATTTGTGGATTTAAGAATTGTTCGTTTGGTACCTATGCCACTGAGTAGAGAGGAAAGCGTCCAGTGAGAAGTGAGTGGTGTTGAGTGACGTCAGTGCTGGGACAGAGCTGGAACCATTATCCATTTCTCTCCCAGACTCAGGAGTGTGAGCGTAGACTGTGCCGGATGCATAGCTCTCTTCTAAGTGCAGGTCAACGCACCCAATCTTGTCTGATCTCAGAAACTAAGCAGGGTCAGGCCTGGTTAGTACTTGGATGGGAGACCACCTGGGTTACCAGGTACCGTAGGCTTTACGCGCCCGATCTCAGATCTCGTCTAAGTCTAGGCCAGACTCTTACTGCTTTTGGCCAAAGCCCATTCTAGATTTAGAGAATTAAGAAGAGGTGTGCAGTCTACAAAAAAATCAGGACTTTTACCTCCAGTAATGACAAACTAGATGATTTTGGCCAATCCTCTTACTGAAGACAACTAGAAAAATTGGACCAAAAAAAAAAAAAAAATCGGCTTGAAGGTGCTAAGACATAACAAAATAATGAAGAATTCCCAGATCTCTGAGGAGACAGAAACCCAGGGGAGCGAGCCTGGCATTTGAAGCAGCATCTCTGCTACTGGAGGATGGAGAGTAAGCAGTTTTTCTGACAGACTCCGGAGTTCACAACTGCCAAGACAAGCAGAAGAAAACCCCTGCATTCTGGGGTTGAACTTCAATGAGCACTCTTAGTTCTAAGAGTGAACTAGAAGTATACCAATCCCAGAGACTGCAAGCAGTTTTGCATCATCGCAGTCCCTGCAATAAAATCGAGGTTGTTCCAGATTGTCAGGTGCCTGGCAGAAGCAAACCTACATCCTCTCTAGAGGACATAATTTCACAATAGGCTTCAATTTTTTTTAATCCAAATATAATGTCCACTATATAACTAAAAATAAACAGGAAAGGAAAAAGGCAAGATGACAAGAACAATAGAAATAACAGACAATAGGAAAAGATCTACAGGGCTCCAGAAATTGGAATTGTCAGACACACACTTTAAATAAACTTACTTACTATGATCAAGAAGAAAAAAATTCAATGTTGAGAATTTTTACATCGAACTGGAAACTCTAAGAAAGAATACAACAGATTTTTTTTAAAGAACCAAGTAGAAATTCTAGAACTGAAAAATACAGTATTAGAAATAATGGAAACTGTGAGGTAATGGATATATGTTTTAAGCCACTAAATTTGTGGTAATTTGTTATGGCAGCAATAGAAAACTCATATTACAATACTATGTCCCACTGGGTTTGTTCACGGCAGATGAAACGTCTGCAAACTAACCGTATTCTAGAAATCTACACAGAATTTAGATATTATCTAGTTTCAATCACAAAACCCATCTTTCATAGCACAGATTAAAGGCAACAACTTGCCCACAGTCAGATAGCAAGTTAATGGCAGGATGCAGGGGAGAACTCAGTCCTCCTGATGTGCAGTGCTCTTTTCAATTCCATCACTATCCTGTTTGAGATAGGAGCTGGGGAAGAAAGTGGCGCATCAGGTTGGAGAAAGCAGTGGTGGAGAATAAACTGACGTAAACAGAGAGAGCCAGCCAGGCTTCTCAATGATACCCTTTTACTATGGACAAGCTACAGGAGACCTTGAGGACCAGAGCCCTAAGCAACTTCACCACAGGTGAGGCAAGTGAGATGGTTTTCCAGAACACACACATACACACACGTGCGCACATGCACACGCACAATACAAAAGCAAAGCAATCTTCTGTCAGAAGCACTGACGTATGCGATTCTACCCTTTGCATTTTATTTCTTTGATTTATGGCCCAAATGCAAATAAAGTAGTGAAGAAAGTAATGGTGACGCCTTGGAACTTATTTATTCCTCACTGTGGGTAAGAACGTCAGAGAAGAGAAGCAGGAACACTGGAATCCTACTTGTAATGGGAAATCCCACCAAACTGGGAAAGCACCCTGATGCATATGGGATGAAGGACTGTGGGGATGGTAGCTGCGGGTCGTGGCGAACACAGGGCCAGGAGACCTGCGTTTGAATCTCGTTTACTTAGCTTTATTAACTAGCCAGTTAACCTTCCTCCACTTCTGTAAAAGAATATATTCCACACGGGATTGTTGTGAAGGCTAAGTAATGTATGGGACAAGGCCTACGACACTACTTAGTACTTGGTATTTATGAAAGAAATGATGGTTTGTGTGCGCCCATGTTTGAAGAAAGAAGAGAGAGGGGTACTTAATTTCTCTGTGCTTCTTGGAAGTAAAAGAGCTATGTCTTCTGAGTAAATAATAGTAATTCCTAAGAGGGTATCTTGTAAATAGCAAGTACTTGACAAAGGAATGAATGAATGAATGAATGAATGAATGAATGACAGAGTTATCTGTCCTGATAGTGACCAAAGACAACTCTGCTCTGTCAGAGAGGTAAAAATTACTTGCTGGGGAAAGAGCCTCGTAACTGAAAGGTGGACAGATAGCACAGATTAATCACCTTGAATTCAGTTATTCTAAAACTCCAATTTGTAGGAAATTTTAACTTACGAAATTTATACATTTTTTTGTTGGAACCAGAAAATTTGCCATATGATGGCTTTTATTTTTTCTTTTTTCCTGTTGCAAAAGGACTTGTAATTGCTTAGAAATATGGTCTCAGCGTAAAACTTCATGTTTCCCAAGCAGGCAGCAGACGCTCCCCCGCTTTCCTTCCGGGATCGGACCAAGTGCAGCACTTGATAGATGGGAAGAATTTTCCACCTTTGGAGAAGGTACAATGTTTTCCTCCTTTGCAGGAACTAAAGTTTTTTACCCTTATGCTTAGTCTCATTAATGGACACGAAATAGCTATTTTGGAATTGTTAACTTTTCCATGGAATTGTTTAAATTGCTTATACTCAGACTAGGGGTATAGGGCTGGATGGTGTCAGTGGTTTATGGTATCAGTGGCTTTTATCAGTGGCATCTTTGTCATCTTAGGGTGGTGTTAATGCAGTTTCTTAGACAAACTTATATTGAACAAATGTCAGAATTTATTATTCATTAATGAGGTAAATAAAGTATGCCAGTGTAAAATGATTAGTTTAGGCCTGACTGCTATTTTATCTTTCATGGTCATAGAAACATCACTCTTTTTTTTTTTTAATCAGTGATAAGGTTAAATTTGTGACAGGAATGGTTTGGGCCCTATTCCGACATGAACCAGTAAGCAGAAATAACAAGCAATATATCTGCAAAGCAAATGATAAACAGACTGCTCTATGGTTATTAATTAGATGCACCAAAAAAACAGAGTTTTATGCACTCACAAGGGGCCAGCGTGCCCAGGGGGCCAGAGAGAGGTCAAACAGAAGTCAGCCAGCAGCAGCATAGAGTCCTGGTTTTTCTCAAGCCAATTTTTCCAGCACGTCATTAAAGATGCTGAACATAGGGTTTTTGGAGATCTTATTTTGGGGACGAAATTTTTCTTTCACAGTGGGGAGAGGTGGAAGTGACCAGAGCCCCATTACCTGGGAAGGAACACCCACTAGAAGATACATGTCTGAGGACTGAAAAGGTTGAAACAGGGAGACGAAGCTGCCTGTGCCCTCTGCCTCCTGGTCATGTGGGTGACCCGCCTTCGGGCCCTGGAACAGTAGCTCTGGAAGGGCCCTTGGAGAAGATCACAGCCTGTGGTTTGCAAATTGTTTTGAGGAGACCGAGGGGTCAAGGGGAAGCTGAATAGCTATGTTATACCAGGTGAGCAGGCTGTGCCGGGCAGACACCAACAAAATGATGGGGAAAAGTAATTTTCTCTGATGTTTTCAGTTAGAAGAAAAAGTGACTTAAGTTTCATTATAACATGTACATTTTTACGTTACAGTTTAGTATTGCTTTTAGTCCGAATTGTCTATGTGAAGGGGGTGAGCACCCTCATCTCTAGTGCTTAGGGCCTTTAAGGATATTTACTCAGCCCTGCTGCCTGAGTAGGACCCCAAACCCCCTCCCTCGGGCCCTCCCTGGCATTCAAGAGCAGCTCCATTTTTATCTGTTTTTGTGATGGGGCTTTTAAATAATTTTATGTGCAAAAGAGTAACATTAGTACAGTGCAGAATATAAATTTTAGAAAAAGTTTCATTTATTTACCTACTTGTTCTGTTCTGTTTTCTTTTAGATAGGGGCAGTGACTTGATCAGATTTATGTCTTTGCATGATTATTCCAGAAGGGAGTGGGATTGAAGGTGGGGGGAAACCTCTGGACCTTAAGTATGCCATCTGCGCAATAAGGCTGGCTCTAGTTTCAATGATTTTTGGTTGTGGATGAGTTCTGAAGCCTGAGTTCCTGTAAATGACAGGTTTTGCTTACGAAAAGCAGCCAGGGAGATTATAGATTCCTGGCATTTGAAGTTACAGAGCCTGTTTGATGTTAATGGGTTTACCAGAAAGGGCTTTTGTGGGGTTCCTTTGGCCCAAGGAGAGCTAGTCGGTAATGTAATCAGGAGACCACAAAGAATGAATTTTCCTGCCCGCCCCCGTACCTCCTTAGCAGTGTGCATGAGTCTCCTGTGACTCATGCTTCTGTGCCTAAGACCTTAGAGAAAGTGACCATGTTTCCAAGGCTGAGGCAGGGCCAGCCTATGCTGCTCCTCTGCAGGCCCCAGCCTGATACTTCTGAGGTGGTGGGAGCCTTGCCAGAGGCTTCTCCTTCACCTTGAACTTGCCTACATCTGACCAGACTGGCTACAGAGCACCTAGGAATCAATTCTCAAATCATAGTTTTAGGAAGAGTTGCAGAGGCCTTAGAGAGCGTTGCGTCTAGGAGTTCCCAAACCTGGCTGCACATTCAAATCACCAGGGAAATTGGGCGGGGGCAGGGGGAAGGCCCCTCCCATCTCCTCTTGAGTCTAATTCAGTCAGCCTGGAGTGGTTTTTTTTTTATATTGTCCTAAGGTGGTTCTCAGTTCACATGCTACGTAGCATTTGGCGACTACTGATCTAATCTCATACTTGAATTTTATTTGACTTAAAAATGACATATGTATATATTTACTCTTTTTTTTTATTTTTTTATTTTTTAGCGAGGTAACCCTTGGTTGACCTCACAGATTGCAAGGACCTTGTCAGCTTACAATCTCTTTTTTTTTGTTATGCCTACAGCACCTGGTCTTCCTAGGTGGTCTCCCATCCACTACTAACCATGCCTGACCCTGCTTAGCTTCCAAGATCAGATGGGATCAGGCTTGTTCAGGGTAGCATGGCCATAGACTGTATTTACTCTTTTTAATACAGAGAATTATAAAGAACCCACCACAATCCTGTTTTTCCCTCAACCCAGTTGACATAAAATTAAAAGTAAAGAAGACGTACAGATGCCAACAGGTAATGAAAAGATGCTCAGTATCACTAATCATCAGAGAAATGCAAATCAAAACCACAATGAGATATTACCTCATACCTGTTAGAATGGCTATTATCAAAAAGACAGAAATAACAAGTGTTGGAGAAGATGTGGAAAAGGAACCCTCGTACACTGCTGGTGGGATTGTAAATTGGTGCAGCCACTATGGAAAACAGTATGGAGGTTCCTCAAAACTTTATAATAGAACTGCCATATGACCCAGCAATTCCACTTTTGGGTATTTATAAATGAAAACACTAATTTGAAAAGATATATATACCCCCCATGTTCACTGCAGCATTATTTATAAGTCAAAACATGGAAACAACCCAAGTATCCACTGATGGATGAAGGGATAAAGATAAAGAGAATGTGTGTGTGTGTGTGTGTGTGTGTGTGTATCACACTTATGCTGATTCCAGTGAATAGAAAACCTATGCCCATCCCCATGGATCTTAGGATATTATAAGCAATTAGCAGGTGTTATAGAAATATCAATGAAAATAACAATAGCAGTAAATTTTCATATATGTACAGTAACTTTACAAAGTAATACATGCGCATGCTTTAAAAATTCAAACAATATAAAGACATGAACAATGAAAAGCCAAGGCTTCCACTCTCAGTCTAACTTCCCAAAGGAAATCACTATTAATGCTGTCTTAGGATTCTACTCCGAAAAGATTTTTTATTTGTCTATTTACTTAATTCTATAAAATCTGAACCAAAGGAATCATCCTATACATATTATCCTCCACTTTAATTTTTTCCACTTAAAGTATTTTTGAGCTCACCATAGATCATTCTTTTTAATAATTATTAAATAAGTTAATATGTGTAACACACTGGAACAACACTTGGTGTGTGGCAACCACGATACATTTGTTAAATGAATGAATGAAAATTGCTGTATGGTGCTCCTTTATATGGGGATACCCTACTTCATTTTACTATTTATGGACACTTCTGTTATGTCGGTTGCTAAAACAAACACTGCAGCAATGAACATCCTTGTATGTGCATCTTGGGCGCCTTACTCTGGGTATGGTAATTAGTCCCTTACTTAGAGTGGCAACAGTGGGCATGGAGCCAAAGGCATTAGAAAGAAAAAGTTACTGATTAGGTAAAAGTGCGAAATAGGACGGGAATTGGGAATTCTGTCTGGTCCCTAGAATCACAGAATTAAAGATCTTAGATCTAGAAGGAACCATAGGTGATTGTTCCAGCCTCTGGGTAGGGAATGTGTTAACATTGGTGGTTCCCAAATCGTGCGCTGAGCCAGAGTGAACTTCCTGGAAAAGCGTGTGGATGGGGGCTGTGAGATATTTAAAATTTTGGACAGGAATGGTGATATTTGACATCCCTCAGGTACTGTATAATTTACTAGCTCAAGATAGTTTACAGTTTAACATTAATCTTAGTACATTCCTTTTGGTGATGGTATAATTTGTGAAGCAAAGTTTTTGGCAGTTGCCATGATATGGCAAGTCCTGGGCACCAATGAACGTGGAATAGGAAGTGAGCACAGCATTGTCCAACCTGACTCCAAAGTTCAAAAGTTGTGCAGTGCTCAACGGTTGCACGCATCCCATTAGTCATTCTTAACCAATAACTGGTTAAGAATAAAATAGTTTTCTCTTTAAATTTGTGTGTATTATTTTTTTCAAACAGCTACTAATTAGGGCATAAATGGTTATTAAGTTGTTTGAACCTGACTGGAACTGCTTCCAGTGTTAACTGGAACTGCTAGGTATTTATCTTGGCCTGAAGCGCCGTGAAGAAATTACTAAGACACTAAGGGCGCCGTAAATTGAAAAGGTTTGGTGACAACTGATTGACATACTTTATCCATCAGAACTCTATTAGCTGCAAGTGTGAGAAACCAAACTGAGTAGGTTCTTCACAGAAAAGACGCGGTCATGTTGCCAGGAGAATGGGAGAAGGGGTACAGAACCCAAAACAATGACTCTCCCACTTTACGGGTGAGGGAACAGACTGGTGGTATATGGTAGTTTAATAGTTAAACATGGAGGATCTGGAGTCCCACCCATCTGGCTTCACTTCCTTGGGCAAATCAACAGCTACATCTTTTAAGCCTTTAGAGTCCTCATCTGTAAATGCGAATAACTGAAGATAAAGGCCAAGAAATGAAAAAGGATAACAATAATAGTCTCTGCCTCATAGCATTGGTGGTTGAAGTAAGGACTGAGTTAATATACATCAAGTGTCTAGCATACCACCTGGCACATAGGAAGCCCTTGGTAAATGAGGCCAGTATTATTATTGATCAAGCTACTTTAAAGATCACACAGCTGGCAAGCTTCTGACTCCTGGAGCAGGTTTCCTTCCAACTCAGGAGGCAGGGAGAGGGTACACAACGGTGATGTCCTCTTTCCTGTCTGTTACAGAGTGAAGCAGCATGGACGCCGTCAGCCAGGTCCCCGTGGAAGTCGTGCTCCCCAAGCACATCCTGGATATCTGGGTCATTGTCCTCATCATCCTAGCCACCATTGTCATCATGACCTCCTTGTTGCTGTGCCCGGCCATGGCGGTCATCATCTATCGCATGCGGACTCATCCTGTCCTCAATGGGGCTGTCTGAGAATCTCCCAAGAGGGGCAGGGGAGGGACGGGGACAGTGCCCCAGAAAAGCAGCAGGAGGAACTTTGGAGCGGGACCCTGGAGCTTGATACGTGAGAGGAGACCTGAGTTCTGGTTTTGATTCTGCCACTGGCCAGCTATGTGAGTTTGGTCACAGGACCAAATTCGATGAGGACCAGGTTCCTTATCTTTCAAATGGGAATTATGATCCCTACTGTTCCTACCTCATGGGGTTGTGATAACCAGTGACTTGGTGGAAGTTAAAGCTGTCTGTGAGCAGTAAAGCTACCCCAGATATAAGGTGTCATTGCTGAATGCTGAGAAGCTCTGAGGAACCAAAGAACCTAATTACTAATGATGGCCTTCAAGGTGATGAGGGGGGCATTGGCACCTCTGCCAGTGCCCCTCAGGTCAAACCAAGCAAAAGCACTCTGTCATCATTCCAAGGGGTGAGCAGCATATTGGCTCAAAATTTTCTTTGAGGTGCCACTCCCTCAAGTTTTCTAATTTGGGAGGGAATTGATCATGGCAGGGGGAAAGAGATGGGTGGATCCTCCCGGGATCTTCTCTGTGCCAGAATCTCTGTCCCTGTGCAATCTGGAGGAGGGTTCTGCCATTTCTGGGCAATGAATGGCAAGGGAGCTGGGGCAACTCTTTCTTTCCACACCAGAGTCTCACAGGTTTGACACTCAAGCAATGTTGGAAAGTGCAGGGCGGCTGAGTTCCTGGCCGGCTTTCGGAATCTTCAGCCCCCACCCCGTTGTGTGCCCCCACCGCACTTGAGCTGCCTCGGCTCCTGCTATAATTAGATCCACGGTATAATGTGTACCTTCCTCATTCCCTTCCACCAGCACTGCAACCAGTCCACGGTACAGACTAATATGTTAAGAGATAGTCCCAGGACTTTTTGGAACTATGTTTATTCAAAGTGATGGTTATTTTAGATGCTATGCTTTATATTTATGTAGAGATTTCTGGACCACTCGAGCTCTTTGACTAAAATCAGAAGCATCCTGGGATTTATTAAATGATGTGAAAGGACGGCACAGATATCAGGATATTATTATGTGAAAATGATGCTTTTACTTTGATCTGATCTCACTGATGTACACAATTTCCAATAAAGTGCTAGAATGAGCATGTCTGAGGTCTTTCTTTGAGAGTCCATATTAAACTCAGGAACTCAGGTAAAAGGATTCCACTGAATTTATAGGCCTTAGAGACACAGCTTGAGTGTGGAAACAGAAAGGGA